ATGGCCAACCTGGAAGAGCAAAGCACTACTAGCTCGAGCTCAAGTATACCTCCAATAGTTCCACATTGTGGTGTTTTGGGGCCCTATCAAACCATGGGCCTCTGGGGGTGTTTTGGTCGAGGAGTCTGGGCTTCGGGATCAGGATTTGTGGTTTAAGGCTTGGCGTTTAGGGTTTAGGGTTTAGGGTTTAGGGTTTAGGGTTTAGGGTTTAGGGTTTAGGGTTTAGGGTTTAGGGTTTAGGGTTTAGGGTTTAGGGTTTAGGGTTTAGGGTTTAGGGATCAGGATTGCACTGACCATGCACACCAAGTCGGTTGGCTGGGGTTGAGGCGGGATCCCTTAGTCCCTTAACTACTATTTGCTTAAGCACCCCAATAGAACAATAAAATACTAATCCCCATATTTCCCTTAATAAGGAGGAATATTTCTCGGAGGTTTCTTCAGCAATTAGTAGTTAAGACTTTGAACCCCCACACCCCGAAACAGCAAAGAGCCTCAATTTGCTGGCCGGATCAAAACTCTACCCGCTCGGAAGCCTCCAGCCTCACTGTTTAAGGGCTCAGGGTTTAGGGTTTAGGGTTTAGGGTTTAGGGTTTAGGCTTAGAATCCAAAAGGGATATGCGGTTCAAATTGGGAGTATTATCGCGATTCTTTTATTTATTTAAGCACCCAGGGCCGGGCCGTTTGGAGGGCCGTTTTTCTTTGTTGCGTAGCCCCGAAGCGCCCCCTTAAATCCGGTAAGCCCAAAGCTTTCCCAAAACCACCCCACCAGTCCAGAAAAACGAGGGGCCCTAAACCCCAAACCCTAAACTGCAAACCCTAAACTGCAAACACTAAACCCTAGACCCTAAACCCTAAACCCTAAACCCTCCACTGTAAGTATGGGTTTTAGGGCTCAGAGCTCAACCTCCAGGACCTTGAACCACCTGGAAGAGTCCATCCAGAGCTTCGACCACCGGGCAACGGCTGCCTGGACGTCAGCACGCAAGCTTGGGGTTTAGGGTTCAGGGTTCAGGGTTCAGGGTTTAGGGTTTAGGGTTTAGGGTTTAGGGTTTAGGGTTTAGGGTTTAGGGTTTAGGGCTAGGGTTTAGGGTGAAGGGTTTGGGGTTTGGGCCCAAGTTTGGGGTTTGCGTTTAGGGTTTAGGGTTTAGGGTTTAGAGATTAGGCGTGTTCAGACCTCTGTAATGAGCTTCAATCAAACCCTTATAAACCCTAAACCCCGAACCCCTAAACCCTGAATCCCTAGACCTTGAATCCCTAAACCCTGAATCCCTAAACCCTGAATCCCCCGTAGCCTAAACCCCTCAACCCTAGCCCTAAACCCTAAACCCTAGCCCTAAACCCTAAACCCCGAATCCTGAAGGCGGAGACCGCACCAGGCTGCAAACCTTAAATCCTGAACCCTCAAGACCTGGATTAGGGTTTAGGGTTTAGGGTTTCGGGTTTAGGGTTTAGGGTTTAGGGTTTAGGGCTTGCCCGCGAAAGCACTTGAGGTTCTGGATGGCGAGCTCCAAGATGTGCATTTCTGGCAGCCACCTGCCCAGAATAGCAGCCCAAAACCCTTAACCCTACATTTCCAACCCCTAAACCCCAAACCCTAAACCCTAAACCCCAAACCCTAAACCCTAAACCCTAAACCCTAAACCGCAGTTTCAGCTCCAGAGGCCTGCCGTCCAATGTCAGGGTGTAGACTTCCAGGGGGTTGGGACTTGGCGGGGTGGCTTTGAGGGTTAGGGTTTAGGGTTTAGGGTTTAGGGTTTAGGGTTTAGGGTTTAGGGTTTAGGGTTTAGGGTTTAGGGTTTAGGGTTTCGGGTTTCGGGTTTCGGGTTTCGGGTTTCGGGTTTCGGGTTTCGGGTTTAGGGCCGAGAGTTCAGGGTGTTGGTGGCGGGCGGAGGGTGTGGAGGCTGGCAGGGCAAGAGGGTTTTAGGGTTTAGGGTTGCGAGCCCAGATGCAACAGGGCTTTGGTTTGAGGGTTTAGGGTTTAGGGTTTAGGGTTCAAGAGCTCCTGGTCGAGCAGTTTCTCGTTTTAGGCTCGTCGTTTAGAACATCGAAGAATGCCCACCCACCCGGAGTTCCCATAACATGAAGAAACACAAAGTTTCTTCTTGTTATTCGGATGGCTCAACAACAAAACTCATAGGGCTTGCAAGGGTTTAGGGTCTCAAGGGTTTAGAGGCTCAAGTTTGGGGCCTATGCCCACGAAGCCCCGGGCCCATGCCCACGAACTTTTGGGCCTTGCCCAGCCCGGCGGAAAATCCGGAAAATGGGCCTTGCCCACGAAAAACCGGGCCCATGCCCACGAAAAAACGGGCCTTTGCCCACGACTACCATTAAGGTTTATAATTACATTAGAGGAGAGGTTCAGGGTTCAGGGTTCAGGGTTTTTGGTGCCTAGGCTAGGTCAGGGTTCAGAGATTGAGCTTGCTGAGGCGGAGGTGTCAAGGACTGAAGCCCTAACGTCTGGTTTAGGGTTTAGGGTTTAGGGTTTGGGGTTTGGGGTTTGGGGTTTTGGGAATCAGGATCTCTACGTGGCCAATACTTACCCTAAACCCTTAAACCTTAACCCTAAGCCCTGAACCTCAGAGGGAAAGTTCATGCGCCGGTTTCTGCAGGCACGGGGCGACGGAGAAGTTCGAAGAGCACAACACCCGCCTGCAGTCAAACAAGGGGGCGCCTTTGGCGGCGGTTTACTTGTAGTTCTTATAGATACCTATAGTTCGAATTCTTAGAGTGATTATATAGGGTCCTAAAAAGTAAACCCTCTACCCAAAGCCTAAGAACCTGTAGGTTTAACGAACTCCCTACAAGCCCGAGCCCCTGCGAAGGGCCCCAAACCCCTGCCCAGAAAGCCCACAACTTCGGCTGTTAGGGGTTTAGCAGCCCCAAGCAGCCCTAGAAATCAAACTATTCACCGTCGGATTCTTGGGCTCGGTTTCCCCAGAGTGTGCCCGTAAAAACCCTAAACCCGAAACCCGAAACCCCCCCGCCGTTTATGGGGCTCGCATTCCCTTTTCGGCCTCATGTATCACAAAAGGACGCTAGGTGACTCTGGGGTATGGACAACAAGGCGCCTGCTGCCTAAGCCTGTCTACATAGACTGCAGGGTTCAGGGGGTCGGGTTAAGAGGTTTGGAGAAGGGTTTCCAGGGTTCGGGTTTAGGGGTTTAGGGATTGCCGGTTGCCTGTGCACAGATTCTGGCAGCACCCACGGTAGTCCGAATGCAAAAACAGGGATTGCGGGTTGAGGGGTTTAGGGATGAGGGTTTAGCTGTCAAGGGTGGGGTTGTGGGTTCTCTTCACTTAGGATTCGGGTTCGAGGATGGTTCAAGGAGCCCCCAACTCCCGAAGCTGCAAGAAACCTGCAAAAGAACACCAAAACCCTGAAATGCGTGACAATATACCAAAAAAAACTCGCCCTTAACACCCTCAACGGCCTGTACTCCCTGAAATACCTGAAACCCTAACCCTAAACCCTAAACCCTAAACCCTAAGGAGTCTCAGAAGTTGAAGGAAGAGCTGGAGGCCAAAGGCCTGCGGGCACTGAAAACCTCCACCGAGGGGCTGGGGGCTTTTTTTTTTTGGTTTTTTGTTTCTCTGTCTTGCATTTAGTTAGGGTTTAGGGTTTAGGTTTTAGGGTCCCGATTATTTCTCTGCTTTTTTGCTTTTAGGGTTTTAGGGTTTAGGGTTTAGAGCTGTTATGACGGGGCCTTGTGGGGGGGGGGGGTGTTGTTGTTTTTTTTTGTTCCCCCGATTTTGTCCACTGCTTGTTGCTTTTAGTGTTTGGGTTTAGGGCTTGGGGTTTTAAGGGTTCAGGGTTGCTGTGATACGGCGCCTTATACTACTACTTGTTTTGTGCCTAAGCACCCCCCCCCCCCAAAAAAAAAAAAAAAAAAAACAAGTGTGCTTCCCTACAAGATTTAAGAAGGGGATGAGTTGTGTTCCGTTATGGTTTGTGGGCTCTTCGTTGGGTCGGGCATTCTGGTTTAGGGTTTCGGGTCTAGAGTTTATTTGGGTTTTGGGTTTCTGATATTTAGAGGTTCCCGCGAAAAGCCCAAGTCAAACCCCAAGCCTGTAATCCTGTCTTGAGGCCCAGCCCAAACCCTGAACCCTAAACCCTGAACCCCAAACCCAGCGAAGCGTAGATTTGCGTGGCGGCTTGCCAGTTTCCACCTCCGAGCGCAACAAATGGATGTTCAGGTTTTGCTTACTTGCCCCCCAGAGAGCCCAAAACCACTTGAATTAAGCAAAAGACCTTAACTTACAACGGATCCTTACCCCAAGACCCCTTGAATTAAGGAATAGACCTTGAACTATAAAGGGATCCTTCGTATGATTTACAGGCCCTTCATTGAGAAAGAGGCCTCAAATCATCAAAATGGATCCTTAGTGTCATTTCAAGGGCATATTCCTCAACCAAGGGAAGTTTTTGGGAGGGTTTAGGGTTTAGGGTTTAGGGTTTAGGGTTTAGGGTTTAGGGTTTAGGGTTTAGGGCCGATGGTAGTAGTAGCCCAAATCTGATCGCACTTTGGGGTGGCCTTGCAGCAAACTCCGAAAGGTTGGAACATCCTTATCCCCTTACCCGAAAAGGCATACTCAAGGGACGCCCTGCTCGAATGGTTTAGGGTTTAGGGTTTCGGGTTAGGGTTTAGGGTTTAGGGTTTAGGGTTAGTTCCAACTTTCTGGAGTTTACTGGAAGGGGCTTGCAAGAAGGCTCAGAACCCCAAACCAAAAACATACCCGTCAATCTTCCAAAACTCGGCTGCGCTTGCACTTGTGTGAGAGTCGAAGGTCTAGGGGTTTAGGGTTTAGCGTTTAGTAAATCCGCAAGAGCACTTTCGAGGGTATTCGAGGGTTTAGGAGTTTAGGGCTCGCCATTCATGTGGATCCACATCTTAGGATGGGTATCTTGTGCACCTTCCTGCAGGCCTTTTGTTTGTCCAGGCAGGCTTTTAAGCGCACGTTTCACGATCCCCCCCGCGCTGCCTGGAACTGTTTTGAACCGCCATGGCTTGGTCCTGGTTGCTCGCGTGTTCCGCGTGCTTGCTTTGGACGGTCAGCTCCTCCGAGCCGGCGCGCGAGAAACTGCCCGCTCAGGCGTATGACACCTGCCAGGGACGCACCGAAGAGTGCGACCTGTCTTTATCGCAGCTCCGAGCGGACAAGCTTGCGCGCGCGAAAGGGGGACAGAAGACCCCGGAGCATTCCCGGGTAGCGAACTCCGCAACATCTGAGGAGGCCGCGAGCAAGAGCGAGAGCTCTAGGTACTCGGGCTTGGCGCATGCTGGAACCGGGACACTGGCAGATGGTGAGAGGAAGTCCGGTCAACATGGTTGGATGTTGTGGAAGCATGACCCAAGTGACTCTTTGCCGGCGGAGATGATGCACGCCCTGGACGACGGTACCGGAAAGCTGCTCGCCTTTGCCGCCTCGGGGCTGTTCTTGGCAGTGTGTGCTCTCATCACGGAGCTACGAAGACCGCTAGACATGCGTGGCTGCGTTACCCTGGCATGCCTCGCTTCAGTCTCTTGCTTCGCCTTTGGTTGAACTTTAAACTTTTTTGAGCTTCCTGATTTAGTAGGAATATTAGAGTTTGATCTTTTTTTGCCCTTGGTTATTGGAGAAGTAAGAACCCTAAACCCTAAACCCTAAGGTCTTCTTCGGGTTTGACAACTTCTTCGTGGCCCATGCCGGCAACGTCTTCCAGCCGGTCGAATACATGTCTGCCATGCTTCTCATGGTGGCTGGGTAGTCTTATGGGTGCCCTTTTTGCTCCTTTTTGTTGGTTCAAGGTTCTCTTAGAAAGTAACTGGCCCCCTAAACCCTAAACCCGAAACCCCCCCAAAAAGGGTATTTGCCCTTATCAGAATATGGTTTCCTGGGCTACCAAGGTGGGCATTCTCAGCGCGCTCGGAAGCTTGCTGCTCGCCACCTGCTGCGAAAGCTTCCGGAGCGAGGTCAAGCGCTGCACAGCGGAGATCTCGACTGTTCAGTTGCCTATATCCCCCTTGGGAATTATTTTCTTGTTTTTGTTCATATAAAACCCAAGAGGATGTTAAACATATGTTTATTATTAAGGTTCTCAGGGGAGTTCAGTTGCTAGGTAGCCCAGTGGTAGCCTTTTGCTCCCTTTTTTTGGTTCAAGGTTCCATGATCAAGCAACCAACCCCCCCAAAAAAGGGTATCCCTTGTTCGAAGATGGCTCCTTGGCCACCAAGATTGGTTTTGCTTCTTTGCAGCGGGGCCTTCATCGCATTGGCCCAGACCTGCGGATGCTTAAGCTTCTCCTTGGACGAGGCAACTAGATCCCCCTTGGGAGTTGTTTTTTCTTTTGGTTTATATAAAACCCAAGAGGATATTAAGACTATCATTTTTATGAAGGTTCGAAGGGGAGTAGAGGCAAACTCCGGGCCACACCAGTCTGTTGTGGTTGCCAACGTTCCCCTCGTGGGCTTGTTCTTCTACATCTACAGCAGCTTGCCAGCCCAGGGGTACCCTTTCACCTTTTTTTTGTTTAGGGTTTAGGGTTTAGGGTTTAGGGTTTAGGGTTCTGGTCCCCTTAGAAAGTAACCAACCAAAAAAAGGTGCCCTTATTGTAATCTGGTCTTTTTGGGCTACGAAGGCAGAGAGACTTTGTCAAGTCAGCAGATCATGGGATGTTCTCTGATCATGGCGGGTGTCGTTTACATGTCTGGCCTCTTGTCCAGGCCGGTTCATGGTCAGTCAGTCCTCCAAGATCGATCCTTTCTGTGGATATGCGTGTCCTGCGTCTTCTATGCTGCCTCCATTGTCACCATCCGCTTAGCCGGCGATCTACCTGCTCGTCCGAAAGCAGCCAGCATCATGTTCTTGTCCGGCCTGCTAGGTTTCACACTGCTCCGACTACTTCCGTCAGAAGCTAGCTTCCTGTTTCTGCGCAGTCCTGCACATCTAGTCTGGCCCTTCTTCAATGCGGTGGCATCCATGTTGGGGCTATTCTCAGTCGTCTTGTCCTACGAGGCCTAAACCCTAAACCCTAAACCCTAAACCCTGAACCCTAAACCCTAAACCCTAAACCCTAAACCCTAAACCCTAAACCCTAAACCCTACGAGGTCCCCGACTGCAAGGCCGCCCTTGCCACTGCAATTATCGACAGCAACTCGGTGCCGATGTGTCTCCTGGCAGCCCAGCGGTACCCTTTTAGCCCCTTAGGGTCTCGGGTTTAGGGTTTAGGGTTTTTTTGGTTCAAGGTTCCCTTATGAAGTAGCCTCCCCCCCCCCCCAAAAAAAAAAAAAAACGGAACAAAAAAGAAGAGGGTGGCCTTATAGTAATTTGGTTGCTTGGCTAGCCAGGTCTACTGAATTATTTCTTGCTTGGGAAAATGCCGGAGATGTCCGAGCTTATCGGAATGGTCATGGTGCTGCTCGGCTGCTCTGTGGCGTCTCTGACCGAGACTCGGAAATCTGAGGCCCAATGAAATAAAATGAAATGTACGAGGTTTTGCCGTCTTCCCCGGCGGAGATTGCAATGTGACCAAGGAAGTTCACAAGCTGGTGGTAGCTTGCGCCGAGAGAAAAGAAGCAGGGTTTGATATTTGGGGTTTGGGGTTTAGGGTTTAGGGTTTAGGGTTGGGGTTGTTTGGGTCAGAGCCGATTCTTCCAAGATGCCGTTCAGGCACCGCGCTCAATGACCTTCGCGAGGACATTGCGGCAACGCAGACCCTTGGCCGAATGTAGGCAATCCCAACACGGCGTCAGATTCGTGCCTTCTTACTCGACCCTAAACCCTAAACCCTAAACCCTAAACCCTAAACCCTAAACCCTAAACCCTAAACCCTAAACCCTAAACCCTAAACCCATCTTTGCCCTCTTTGGGCGCTAGGTTCCCTGATAGAAGGGTACCCTGCTTACACTCTGGGTAAATCCCAACGGCACACCTTTGCAGGTACTTGTTCGGGGAAGTGCCGTTGGTGTTTGTTTTGAAAGCGTCGACTTTGGAGCTGAGTGAGCACACTTTACACTTTTTGGGATACTCCAATGGGTTTAGGGTTTAGGGTTTAGGGTTTAGGGTTTAGGGTTTAGGGTTTTGTAATCCCCTATAGAACTGAAAGTGTGCACTTTTTTGGGGCTTATGAGCTCAGCAACTACGTCGAAAGGCTTGCGAGCGCTTGTTGCACATGTCCTCGCACCCGACCCCTCTCCTCACCGTAGCCATCACTGCTGAACTTTCAAGAAACCTTGAGAAGTCTACGGCTGTCAAGCCCAAAACCCCCGATACCCTAAACCCTAAACCCTATAAACCCTATAAACCCTATAAACCCTATAAACCCTATAAACCCTATAAACCCTATAAACCCTATAAACCCTATAAACCCTATAAACCCTAAACCCTAAACCCTAAACCCTATAAACCCTAAACCCCAAACCCCCCAACATAAATCCCCAAAGCTGCATATGAGCCATGGCTGGCCCAGGAGACGGCTGTCCCGGATCGACGGCAACGTGGACATCATGCAGCGCCCTGGCCTTGCTTTGTAGGGTTTAGGGTTTAGGGTTTAGGGTTTAGGGTTTGGGGTTTGGGGTTTGGGGTTTGGGGTTTGGGGTTTGGGGTTTGGGGTTTGGGGTTTGGGGTTTGGGGTTTGGGGTTTGGGGTTTGGGGAAAGTTTGGGGTGTAGGGTTTAGGGTTTGTGGTGTAGGGTTTAGGGTTTAGGGTTCAGGTTTTCGGGGGTTTACGTAGGGTGTAGGGTTTACGGGTCAATCTCAACCTCTTCCCCTAACAATGCTGCAACATGTTGGTCCCCCCAGCGCGGATTTGATTGGCAACTCAACCTAAAACCCTATATACGCCTTATAGAATGACCTCAACCCTAGAACCCTAGGAACCTAAAACCCCGTACACCTTATAGCAGAACCTGAACCCTTTGCCAGTCTTCGTTCTGCAGAGTTGTTGATGCCCTGGGTGATTTCTGTTGTCTTTGCTTGTGCAAGGCGCAGTTCGTGGTTTTGTTCGACGATTGTTGGGGGGTCCCTGGGATGCTGGTGACTGGGGTTTAGGCTTAGGGCTCAGGGTTTGGCATTCAGGGTTTAGGGTTTAGGGTTTAGGGTTTTGGGTCGCAGGAGCCCTGAAGCGAAAACAGGGCTTGAGAGTGTAAGGCTGGGCTATACCCCCCCCAAACTGCAAACCCTAAACTCTAAAGCCTAAACCCTAAAACTCGAAACCCTAAACCCTAAACCCTAAACCCTAAAGAGTTCTATAAGCCCTAATCCCTGCCTGGGCTTATTGAAGTCATGTACACCATGCTCCGAGAGCACGACGCCCCCAAGGAAATACCTAGTACCCTAAAACCCTAGAACCCTAAACCCTAAACCCTAAACCCTGAACCCTGAACCCTGAACCCTAAGGTCCCTTAGAAAGGGTCCCTCCTTGAGTCGCTTGAGGAAATACTTCACGGGCTTCGGCAAAGGCCTCCAAGACACCTCGCGGTGCGTCTCCTCCCGGGAGCGATTGGGGTTTAGGGTTTAGGGTTTAGGGTTTAGGGTTTAGGGTTTAGGGTTTAGGGTTTGGGGTTTGGGGTTTGGGGTTTGGGGTTTGGGGTTTGGGGCCTGGGTTTTAGGGGTTATAGGGTTATAGGGTTACAGGGTTATGGGGTTTATGGTCTAGGGTTGACGGGGACGGCTTTAGAGAGATCTATCGGGCCGAGTGAATCGTTAACAAAGAGAGAATTTCAGGCGTTCACGGGTTTAGGGTTGCTTTGAGGTTTGAGGGTTTGGGGTTTGGGGTGTGAGGGTTTGAGGGTTTGAGGGTTTGAGGGTTTTGGCTTTAAGGGTTTCGGGTTTAGGGTTTAGGGTTTGGGGTTTAGGGTTTGGGGTTTAGGGTTTGGGGTTTAGGGTTTAGGGTTTAGGGCAGCCAAAAGTCGCCCGCCAGGAGACCTTTACCGTGCCGCGCGGTTCCCCCCCCCGGCCTCACTCGGCGACGGTGTCGTCAGGCTGGGCTCTGTTTGGGGTTTAGGGTTTAGGGTTTAGGGGTTGGGGTTTTGTGGTTTGGGGGTTTAGGGGCATAGGGTTAGGGTTTAGGGTTTAGGGGCATAGGGTTTTGGGGGATAGGTGTTAGGTTTTAGGGTTTAGGGTTCCATCAGGGTTCAGGTTTTGGTTTTGGGAGTTCAGAGATTTCAGGGCTGAGGACGTTGTACTGCTCGGAGAGCGTTAGCACGCCTTGGCCTCAGCTCGGGTTCAAGAAGGGATACACCCTAAACCCTAAACCCTAAACCCTAAGCCCTAAACCCTAAACCCTAAACCCTAAACCCTAAACCCTAAACCCTAAACCCTAAACCCTAAACCCTAAACCCTAAACCCTAAACCCTAAACCGAAGCCCGAAACCCTACCAGGGTGCCGGGGGTGAGTGTCCGGCCCCTGAGAGCTACCCAAGTTGGGCGATGTCGACATGAATTTCATGTCCGCGGCTGTAGGCCCTAAAGGCCCTACAAGCCCTACAAGCCCCTAACCCCTTCTAAACCCCTAAGCCACTCTGAGGGCATGTCGGGTGTAGCCCTAAACCCTAAACCCTAAACCCTAAACCCTAACCCCTAAACCCTAAACCCGAAACCCTTCGTCTAGGTCAAAGGGCCCTTTGTAGTATTTCTGCCGCCATCAGGGCTCCCGTCGCTGCCGCTTCCTCCTGAGTCGCCAGGAAGGCAGCGGTCCGTTTTGCTGTTTACGTTTTTCCCCCTAAGCCTGGGGCTTAGGGTTTAGGGTTTAGGGTTTAGGGTTTAGGGTTTAGGGTTTAGGGTTTAGGGTTTAGGGTTTAGGGCTTAGGGTTTAGGGTTTAGGGTTTAGGGTTTAGGGTTTAGGGTTTAGGGTTTAGGGTTTCGAACCATTTGGGGCTTCAGGTTTAGGCCTGTGAATCGAGGGTTTAGTTTTTACAGGAGGTTCGACATCGGATTTGGAAGTTGCGGCATATGCCATCTCCAGGTTCTCTCGGTGTGCTTCGTGCTGAAAGTCAGAGGGTAGATCTGCGCGCTCTGAAACCCTAAACCCTACACCCTAAGCCCTAAACCCTAAACCCTAAACCCTAAAATGTGTCATGCTGCGGCTGATCGTCTAGAACCCCAATGTGCCCGAAAGGGCGCATGCTTCTGCATTCGCAGGCAGCCTTGATATGCAGTCTTGCTCATCCCCCCTAAGGCGTTTGGGGTTTAGGGTTTATATAGGGTTTAGGGTTTAGGGTTCAGGATGTCCCTTGATCTAGGGGCTAGCGTAGGCCTTTTTTTCCTTGGGGTTCCCTTATAATCCTCTTAACACACACCCTCCCAAATTCTGATAATGCTTTGCAGGCCCTACACCCTAAGTACGCTTAACCCTGAAACCACCAAAAACAAAACTCAACAGGCAGAAAAGTAAACCCTGAAACCCCCTGACACAAACCCTAGCCCCCATTACACCCTGAAGCCTTAAACCCTTCAGCCCTTATACCCCTAAACCTAAACCGCAAGACCATTTCTCTTAGCCCTAAACCCGAACTCAACCCCTACCTGGATCTCCAGTTATGGCTGATTTATGGGCGAGGATGTGTTTTCCGCAAAGTTACGGTCGAACTGAGGAAATTACGGTTGTCACTGAGCGCTGTTTCTACGGGTTTTTAAGGTCGTTCTACGGGTTTTCTACGGCTTTTCTACGCCTATTTATGGTCGTTCCGTTGCCGCTGGGCAGGGAGAACAGTTTTACAGGTGTTTTCGAGATTTACGGGAAGCTGGCTTCATTTATGGGCGTTTACACTTCGACCAAAAAATGATCATCGTTCTGTGTTCCAGGTAAACCCTAAACCCCTGAAACCCGAGAACCCAAAAAACAAAATCGAAACGCCTTCCGCCCTAAACCCCGAAGCCCTAAAACCCTAAACCCCTAAAACCCTAACACCCACAATCCTAAACCCCTAAAACCCTAACACCCAGCAATCCTAAATCCCTAAAACCCCTAAACAAACCCCTAAAACCCTACAGCCCGCTGAGTGGGTGAGCCAGCAGCGGAGACCCTAGCACGAGCTCTATGGCAGACGTCTGACAACTCAGAACCAGAAATCGTTGCTCTGGTGACGAAGAAGGGTTTAGGGTTTAGGGTTTACGGTTTAGGGATTGGGGTTTAGGGTTGACCAGGAAAGGGAGAAAACCCTTAAAACCGTTAAAACCCTTAACGCCCTTAAAACCCTCAAAGCCCTTAAACCCCTTAAGCCCTTTAAGACCCTTAAAACCCTGAAAGCCCTTAACACCCTAAAAACCCCTAAAAACCCTCAAAGAACCCATAAAGCCCCAGAAGCCCTCCCTTTTGACACCCTTAAAACCCTTAAAGAACCCATAAAAGCCCCCAAAAAACCTTTTGGAGTTAAACCAACCCTAAACCCTAAACCCTAAATCCTAAACCCCAAACCCTAAACCCTAAACCCTAAACCCTAAACCCTAAACGAGGCGGCGTCCATGGAGCTCC